TGTTATATTTATTATCTGTTATTTATTATAACTGTTGTTATATTTATTATAAATGTTATATTTATTATAACTGTTTTTATTTATTATAAATGTTTTATTTATTATAAATGTTGTTATTTATTATAACTGTTATATTTATTATAACTGTTATATTTATTATAACTGTTGTGATATTTATTATAAATGTTATATTTATTATAACTGTTTTTATTTATTATAAATGTTTTATTCATTATAAATGTTGTTATTTATTATAACTGTTATATTTATTATAACTGTTATTTATTATAACTGTAATATTTATTATAACTGTTGTGATATTTATTATAACTGTTATTTATTATAACTGTAATATTTATTATAACTGTTGTGATATTTATTATAACTGTTATTTATTATAACTGTAATATTTATTATAACTGTAATATTTATTATAACTGTAATATTTATTATAACTGTTGTGATATTTATTATAACTGTTATTTATTATAACCGTTATTTATTATAAATGTTATATTTATTATAACTGTTTTTATTTATTATAAATGTTTTATTTATTATAAATGTTTTATTTATTATAAATGTTGTTATTTATTATAAATGCTGTTATTTATTATAACTGTTGTGATATTTATTATAACTGTTATTTATTATAACCGTTATTTATTATAAATGTTATTTATTATAAATGTAATATTTATTATAACGGTTATTATTTATTATAAATGTTTTATTTATTATAAATGTCATATTTATTATAACGGTTATTTATTATAACTGTTATTATTTATTATAACTGTTATTTATTATAACTGTTGTTTATTATAACTGTTATTTATTATAACTGTTATTTATTATAACTGTTTTTTATTTATTATAAATGTTTTGTTTATTATAACTGTTGTTATTTATTATAACTGTTGTTATTTATTATAACTGTTATTTATTATAACTGGTGTTAGAGCAGAAAAACTTTGGACTGCCTGGAGTGTGCATGTGTAACTTCACACTTGGAGCATCTCACTCCTCCGTGGGGGGTTCCTCTGAAAACCTCCAGTCTGAGACCTGGACTCAGAACCTTCGGTTCAGAGAGGATGAGGATGTCGTCTGTAAATGAACGAACGCTTCACGTCGTGTAAACGGGTCTTCAGACTGGCTGCCCTGTCTGTCAGTCAGGAGACACATTTCATAGATGATGATCAGCTGACGTCTGTTTTTAATGCATCTACCCAGAATAGGTCAGAGGTCGACCAGTAGATCATGATGGGCGTGTTGGACACCACTGGTTCAGACAGAACTGGAGGATACATTTTCGAGTCGAGCAGTAAGACTTTGTTTCGTTGTAGCACGCTTCATAAAAATATCTCGTCCTCTTTACGATTACGAGACAAACTTTGTAAACCGGCTCTTGTGACAATAAAATGTTATAAAATGAATTTTGGAGCATTTAAGGTTTAAAACGTTTCATATATTTGTGATGTTTAGTTTAGATTTTCTCAAGTGTCAGAAATAAAACACAGGTTTTCATCAACTTCTATAAAAGTTTTCTTCTCGATTCAGAATTTTGTGGGCCCGTTGGAGATGGTCCAAGGGCCATAAGTTGTCCAGGTCTGTATTAGATGATCCGTTAGCAACTCAAGTACGTGTTGAGGATGACTCATCTCAGTGGGGGTGTAACAATACATCGATCTATACATAGATCTATACATCGATCTATACATCGATCTATACACCGATCTATACAC